CCCCCTCCCCAGACGTGTGACCGCATCAAGCAGTCGGCGGCGGGGACCAAGCGCCGCGTCTTCATCATCGAGACCATGGGCGGCTTCTGCGGCTACTTGGCCACCATGGCGGGGCTGGCGGCCGGCGCCGACGCCGCCTACATCTACGAGGAGCCCTTCAACATCCGCGACCTGCAGGTTGGGGGGCTCCTTTCGGGCTTTTGAAGGGTTTTTTTTGGCGTGTCCCGCGCCGGGCGCCTTCCCCCCCACCCCCGAACGCCAAAACCGCCGCGCCCGCAGGTCAACGTGGAGCACCTGACGGAGAAGATGAAGACGACGGTGCAGAGGGGGCTGGTGCTCAGGTTTGTGGTCAGCCAGGGGGTGTTGAGGGGGTGGCTGGGGGGTGGCTGAGAGCTGTCACACTCATCACACCCACTCCCCCCCCCATCCGGCGTAGGAACGAGCGGTGCAACGACAACTACACCACGGACTTCATCTGCAGCCTCTACTCCGAGGAGGGCAAAGGGGTCTTCGACTGCAGGCAGAACGTCCTGGGGCACATGCAGCAGGTGGGGGGACCCCCCACGGCCCTGGGGAAGGGGCTGCTCCCTTCCCATGGGGTTCTGCCCCCTCCCCTGGGGCTCTGCCCCTTCCCATGGGGTTCTGCCCCTTCCCATGGGGCTCTGCCCCCTCCCCTGGGGTTCTGCCCCTTCCCATGGGGTTCTGCCCCTTCCCATGGGGTTCTGCCCCCTCCCTTGGGCTCTGCCCCCTCCCCTGGGGCTCTGCCCCCTCCTCTGGGTTCTGCCCCTTCCCCTGGGGTTCTGCCCCCTCCCCTGGGTTCTGCCCCTTCCCATGGGGTTCTGCCCCCTCCTCTGGGTTCTGCCCCTTCCCCTGGGGTTCTGCCCCTTCCCCTGGGGCTCTGCCCCCTCCCCTGGGTTCTGCCCCCTCCCCTGGGGCTCTGCCCCCTCCCATGGGGTTCTGCCCCCTCCCATGGGGTTCTGCCCCCTCCTCTGGGTTCTGCCCCTTCCCATGGGGTTCTGCCCCCTCCCCTGGGGTTCTGCCCCTTCCCATGGGGTTCTGCCCCTTCCCATGGGGTTCTGCCCC